GTGAAGGAAATCAAAGTCTATCTGAGTCAATGGCAAGACAGATCGTAATGTTCATCACTGAATGGCTCTGTACGGTAAAGATGCCAACACCCTGAAACCGACATACAGATTTAACAAAATTCCTATCGTGTTTATTGAATGATTATTTTCCTAAAATTTATATGGAAAGTTGAGGGGAATGAATAAGGAAAATAACTGTCAAAAAGAACAAAATGAGAAGACCCCATCTGCTGAACTCAAGACTGTATGTTATTAGCCAAGGAGTAAAAGTATAAGTCAATAGGACAGGATGGAAAATCATAAAAAAACCACCCACACAAATAAACCAAAGAAAATTTTTGGCAAAGAAAATTCAATGGAGGAGAGAGCCTTTCCAACCAATGACCCTGGATCAGCACCTGGACACAGGTCAAGGCTGGGCGGTGTCAGTGGGAGAGAAGAAACTCATCTTGCCTAAGACTTGGTGGTGAATTTGTGGCACGCATGCCACAGTGGGTACCAGAGCCATCCCTGTCAGCACATGAGCTGAGTCACCCCAGCCGCTGAGCATTGGATAACACTTGTTTTTTTCTAAATTAAAACCTTGGTATTTAGATTTAATAGCAGTGTGGGCACTTTGTGAAAAGTGGGTTTGGGGTTGCCGTTTGGGCTCTTGGTGTTGAATGGGTTCCCTACCACCGGCCTAAGTTTTAAGCCTTATTCAAAAATCAAAGTGGACCATAGGTTTAAATGTCTGACATAAAACAGTAGAACTTTCTTTGTAAAACCCAGCAGTTGCACTCCTGGACATTTATCCAATAGAAATGGAAACATCTTCACTCCGGAACATCTAGAGCACCTGATTCATAACAGCCCCAAACTGGAAATCACCGCGACATACTCAAATAGGTGAACGATTAAACAATCTGTGGGAATCCACATCATGGAATACTGATCAGCGTCTAACAGAAAGAAAAGGGCAGGGATGTAGTTCAGTGGTAAAGCACTTGCCTAGCAGGCTGGGGCCTTGAGTTGGGGTTCCCTAGCACGTCAAAAGCAAAACAAAACACTAAAAAGCTATTGATGCATCCAGTAGTCTGCATGCATTTCCAGAGAACTATGCAGAGTGAAGAAGAAAATCTGTCCCCAAATACTAGTAATGTGGTAGTCCGTGTTTTTAAGGTTTTTGTTGTTGCTTGTTTGTTATTTTAGAGACAGCACCTCACCAAGTCACTACTTGCTCAAGTTGTGCTTGACCTTGAGGTCCTGTCTCAGCCTTTCAGAGTGCTGGGATTACAGGCAAGCACCACCATGCCCAGGTATACTTAACATTCTTGAAACAATAAAATTATAGAAATGGATAATAGATTAGTGGTTCCTAGAGGTAAAGGAGAGATTAGGTGATATTCAGGGCAATATGAGAGAGAGAGACTGTAGTGGCGGAAATGTTTTGGGTTGATAGTGTGAACTTCTATGACCCGGTTGTAATATTGTACAATAGCTTTGTAAGATGTTACCACTGGGGGAAATTGTGTTATGGGTACATGGACCTCTGCATTATTTCTTTCAACCCCATGGAAATTATCTCAAGATAAAACATTTTTAAAAAACAAAAAATTTTAAAAGGTTTTGGAAATGTGAATGATGGACTCAGCAAAGAACAAGAGACAGGAACACAGGAACAGTGGGGCTGGAGTCCAGGGCAGCTCAGTGACACAGCGTGTGCCTGGCACGCATGAGGCCCTGGGTCCCATCCTCAGCACCTCCCTCCCCCTGAAAAAAAAAAAAAACTTAACAGGAATACTAGAAACAGAACTGAAAAAGATTTTAGAAAGTAACTGTTAAAATTAAGATTTTAGATGGCATGTTTGTTTCTTATTGCTACTATAACAAGTTATCACAGATTTAGTATCTTAATATTATCTTGTGGTTTTGGATACTACAATTCCAAAATGGGTCCCACTGGGTTAAAAACAGAATGCTGGCATTTGAAACACTGCCAGTGCTGCGTCTTCATCTCCAAGCCCCTCGTGGGGGACCGAGTCCCTTTCAGACTGTGTTGTCTCTGATTTCCCCCTTCCACTAATAAGGACTCTGTGATCACACTGGATCCTCCTGGGTAACCCAGGCTGCTCGGCCCACCGCCAGGCCAGCCGGTAGCACCCTGGATCCCATGTGCATCCTAGTTCCTCTCTGAATTCACCACTGCAGGGCTAGGACGTGGATATCACCGAGGCGTTGGGTCACTGTTCTGAGTGCTACAGATAGATTTAAAAAATCGACCCAAATGTCTACAAAATAATTATTGAATCAAAAAAGAGCTGAAATTTTTAGAAGCTAGCAAAAGAAACAGGATGTGGGAAATAAAATGGAAAGTTAAAAGACGAATGACACAGAATCCTAGAAGAAAAACTCTCATTTTTTTCTACCGGGGTTTCACACAAAGATGAACTAGAGGAAATGGAATCATTTTGGGTGTTCAGTGTGCACAAGTTTGCACACTGCAACTCTTCCTTTTGCAGTTTCACTTTTGAATTCATCTTTTCTCCGAAGAGGGCCTTTGATGGGAATTGTAATACTCAAGAGTGTGTATATGGTCACGTGAATTAATGGACTCCTTTAGTCTGAATAAATGAAACGTTTCGATAGCATGGGTAACGTTTAAAAGTATTAATCAGGGAAATTTATTAGCATGTCAAAAACTCATTAACAAGTCGTCACAGCAAACAGAACATAAAATGCCAAGAACAGTCCTAACACAAGCCAAGAAAAAACACTTAGATTTTTAAAAGTACAAACTTAAGCGCATGCTTGTTTGTCAAGTTCGGTTACTTTCAGCTGGTTTTCATCGCGCGCGCCTGTCCCAGCCTAAGCTTTGGCGTCAAGTCCGGGCACTGGCCGCGGAAGCCGGTGCCACTCGCAGGGGGCGGGCCTTGCCTCGGGCGCAGCTGCCCAGCCGGCGCTGCGCTGTCCCCCGCGTGTCTGCCCCGGCGAGCTCGAGCTCTGCGCATTCGCCCTGCGCGGTGGCGCTGCTCGGGACGCTCGCGGGCCTCTCTCGTCCTGCGCGGAGAGCGGCGCCAGCGCCGCGCCCGCCGCGTCCTCCCCGCCCGGCCTCCGCCTCTCCCCGGAGCTCGGCGTCGACGCCGGGCGGTGGCCGTTGCTGCCTCCTGCAGTTCCCGTTCCGGCCCGCGCGCCCCGGGCCGCCGTCCGCTCCCTGGCGCACCTGGCCTCTGCTCTTGCTTCCAGAGGCTGTGAGTCCTGCAAAGCTAGATCCAGGTAAGTGCTGGGGGTTTGCGCTGGGGGAGACGCGCAGTCTCTGGGGCGCGGCCCGAGAGCGTGGAGCAACAGGGAGGCAGGACCTGCGTGCGGTCTGCAGGCGGGGCTGCTCCGGGTGGACGAGGCGGAGAAATCTGGGAGCCTGAGGACTGCAACTAAAGTTCCAAAGTTAGGAGCCCTACGGGTCAGCGGCCGCGGAACCCTGTGTCCCACGGTGGCCTAAAGCTGGAGTTCTCAGTTCTGCTGCAATTTACAGTCACCTGGGACACTTCAAATCCAGATGTCCAGGCCATTCCCTGAAGCCTCTCTGAATCTCCAGGGCGGGGCCCAGGTTGGCATTGAAATACATCCTTGGTGATTCCAGCAGGCACCGAAGGGCTGGGAACCCGACACCATAGGCAAGCGAGGAGGGTGGTCCTTGACCCTCCTGCCATCCAGCCTGTAAACAGGCTGCTTCCAGTGTCCTGCATGGTCCAGGACTTCCTTTGGGATTCATGGGCTACAAAGTAAGGAAATGAGACAATGCTTGGCAAGGCCCACTGAATACCATGCAGAAAGTCTCAAACTGAGCAGCAGTGTCTCGGGGTGTTTGAAAAACATGCAGAACGACAGACCATGATGTTCTGTTGGTTCTGTACCCTGGGAAGTGCCTGGATTGTTGATATTTGAAATTATGTCTTGGAAAACCAATAAACCCTGTCTGGACAACTCCTGTGCCTTTGGCTTTGAGAGGCAAGCCAAAGGTGTGCTCGCCTGAGGGTGAGATCTGTCCTCACTAAAGCTCCCTGTTTAAAATTCACTTATCACAGTCTAAGAAGACTAGCTGGACCATGGGTGTTAAAGAGGAGTGGGTTGCCTGTTCTCCCCCGGAGTAGACGCCAGGAGCAGTAGCTGGAATCCAGGCAGACAGACAAGGGACGGGCATGTGCTGACCATACTGAGCAGATTTAAAACTCACAGCAAAGAGATAGAAGAGGAATGTGGCAAGAAAAGTAGATTTTATTTTTTTGTGGAATGGAGAAAACCTCATGTTTTGGAGCCCATTAAACTTGGGCCCAAACTCTGATTCTGTCACTTCTGTGCTATGTCACCGTGGTAAGTTACTTGACCTCTCTGAGACCTTGTTTCCTTACGTATAAAATGGGATGAACTAGTGACTGTCTCCCGAGGCTGACCCAGTTCAGTGAGATGATGTGCATCAGACACCCGTTGGGGTGGGTGACACCTGGCAGTTGCTTTGTGACAGCCACAGTGCGAGAGCCTCCTTTCATCTATCCATGAGCTCTCAACTTGTTTCTAGGAAGATTCCTCTTGGTGCATCAAATGCTTTTGGAGCGCAAGTGATTCTTTCTGTCTTGATTCTTGTGATAAAGAGGTGAGTGGCTGCTGCCATTTCAATTAATTAATTAATTAACTCAAGCTAGAAAGTCTTTCAAAGTGCCAGGCATGGTGGGACACAGGGGGATTCCAGGGCTCAGGAGGCTGGGTCAGGAGAATTCCTGAGAGTTAGAGGCCAGCCTGGGCTACGTAGTAAGTTCATGGCCAGCCCAAACTATATAGTAAAATCTTTGTCTTAAAAAGAAAAAAAAAAGCCTTTCAAAACAGAAGTTTGTTGAAATGTGACTACCTGGTTTAGATTTTTAAATAAATGTGAATTTTATCTTAAACTGCCACACACCGAGCTGTGGGCAGATATTACTACACACAGTGGCCAAGATCAAGCTGACCACTTCCCTCCACTTTGTTCTCTCCCAGTCTCTGAATCCACAGTGTCTGCCGGAGATGAAGGGCTCCGCAGGGCTCTTACCTTGGCCCTTTGATGGAGCAGAGCCCCCCAACAAATGAAGTGCTTCTTTAAAGCCCAAAGACAGTTTTGTGTTATGCTTCATTAAAATCAATAGGTTGTTCTCTGGTAAACAGTCACTTGGAAATTTGTTTTGCTAAGGAGTCATTTTCCTCTATCTTATAGCAAACTATCATTTAAAGGACTGATTTCTGGGTTGAGAGCCCAGGTAATTGCAAGTGAGCACCAGATTTTGCTAGATGTGTGTGTGGGTAGAGTCATAAAACATGAAAATGTACCTGTTGTATGTTTATTTCCAAAAGTTGATGTCCTTTGTCCATTTGTTATATGCTGCCACCACATAGCTTAGCATCAGAAGAATTGGGGCCTAAAGGATATTTTCAGAGTCACACATGACTGAGCAGGACAGTTACACACTGCTGAAAAAACTCCTTATGGGGTGGGAGAGCTGTGAGCAGAAGAGTTACTTGGAAGAAGTTTACATCATTCTGCTTCCTAAAAGATTAAAGTTCTAATGGCCAAGAACTTCCTGTGCTTCATTGTACACATTCCCAGACTGCTATCTGTAATGTCAAGACCAAGCCTCTTGGAAGAAACCGGGTTGGTCACTGGGCTTTTCTTTGGACATCTCCTAACTCTTTATAACACAGAATAAGCCCCTTCCTTTAGGTGACCATTCCTGGTTCCATTTAATTAGGCCTATATTTCACATTTAACACAAAATCAGTCGTGCTGACAGTTTCAAATGGAGATACGAGATCTACAACAAATACCAGCTCAGCACGACTTACATGGAAGAAATCTTGGGTTTTGGAGTCAGAATTGGCATCACATTCCTACTTTGTTCCTTAACCTTATGAAGTCAGTCAACATCTTTGGCCCTTCCAACTCTGTGTCCTCTTTGGAAAATGATTCTTTCTTTACAAGCATTTTTGATACTTGATGAGTTAATCTGTATCAAGACCTGGCATACCACCTTGCTTTCAATGACCAGTGATTCTCTTGGTGGCGATAATTATGATGGCTACTTTGGCTCCAGTGTGGTCTTGCTATTTCTCATTTATGTGTCTTGGGTAAAGTACTTAAAAGCTTCCATTTGGAGATATCTCTACCGATCTGGAAGGACTGGTTTCAGGCTTAATTTATTAAATGAAATGAAGCTGTGTCTGATCTAGTAGACCCTACAACACTTACATAGGCTTACTGGGTGCTAGCAATGGGTTTTTTCCTCCTCTTTGGTCGGTTTTTCAGCTTATTTTAATCTTCCTAACAATTGTATGCACTCAGTAGTTATCGCTTTTCTCATTTTGCAGATGAGACAGCTGAGGTTCCCTGGGGTTATATAAGGAGCCCAGGAAGGAAGTACTGTGTTGGGGACTGGAAGTGGGTCCCCTTCTTAACCTCTGGCCCAGCTGCTGAGTGAGTGGCCCTCCCTTCTGCTGGCCCCACCCACCTCACCACACCCACCTCCCATGAGTACCACCATTGTGAGACTGGCTCTATACTACTCAACATAGAGCCCCTTTGTGTGTATGAAGTCAAAGTGGAATTTCTTTCTCCTGCTACTCAGGTAACTTTTAAAGTTCAGCCATTGCTTAGACTATTAGGGATAACTCAGAATTAAAGGAAGATAAGCCCCCTCATTCTGATACTGACTACTGCAGTGGATTGTGTTTGTTTTGTGATAAATGTCATCTGCAGGCACTGAGACTGTTGCCCTGGGTGTAGTAAAGCATCCCTTCACCCAGGCAAGTGTTTGGGAGCATAGAAAACAAGCCTAGAATTTCCAGCTTAACAAAGCATTCCACAGGAAGTACAGGAGCCTGGCTGAGCATGGTGGTACACATCTGTAGCTCCAGTCACATGGGAGACTGAGGCAGAGAGATTACAAGTTCAAAGCCAGCCTGGGTAACGTAGTGAAACATTGTTTCAAGACATGATAATTAATTAATTAATTGAATGGGCTGGGGGTGGAACTCAGTGGCAGAGTGCTTGCAGGTTAAGGCCATGGGTTCAATCCCCAGTTCCACCTAAATAAAGAAAAAAAGGAAGGAAAGAAAGGAGGAAGGGAAAGAGGGAAGCCTGTTATAAGTAAGTCCCTTGTTTTGAAATTTCTTATTCTTCTTCCCTCTTCTTTTTTACCCCATTCACTTTCTCCTTGTCTTTTATTAGGCTTTCCAGTGGATCTTGAGGGTCCAGAGAAACAAATTCTCAACTGAGTGGGTTGTAGGTGCTTTAGTATTTTCTATAAAGAGGTGACAATTTCTGGCTTTCCCAAAAGTTGAAGTGATTTTCTGGCTCACCAGTCTGGTGTGGAAGACTTTTAGAAAGCTATTGGTAGCCTCTGGTTCATCCTGGCTCTTTGGGCGTTCATTTCATCAAGAAGAAACAAATTTTATAGAAGGTCTTTCTGAAACCAGACACTTACTGAACACTTTGGGATATAGCAGTGTATAAAAGAGACCCAGCCTCAGGCCAAATGGAATTTTAAGGCTGTCTCTATAACAAATGATCATAGACCATGTGGCTTAAACCACCGACATTCTTTCCTACAATTCCAGAGGCTGGAAGAATGGGATTAGAACACCAGCATGGGCCTGTTTGGTGGGTGTTTTCTTCCTGGCTTGCTGATAGCACTTTCTTGCCTTGTCCTTATAAGGGAAAGGGAAATAGAGAGAGGGAGAGACAGAGACCAAGACAGACAGAGAGAGGTATCTCTCATGTCTCTTTTTTACAAGGACACCAGTATTCTTGCTAGGGCTTCACCCTCTGGGCCTCTTTTAATTCTAATCACTTCCAAACACCATCTCAGTGGAGATTAGAACCTCAACATGTGGCCTTCACGGAGAACTTACACATTCGGTCTGTAGTAGGAGTGAGCATAAACATACAACTGAAAACGTAATTGTAAATCGTGATGAGTACGCTAAGTGGAAAAACACCAATCATGAGACAGGTAGGCACAATGCTGGATTAGGAAAGTCTGGAGATGCTTTTCTAGGAATGAGCGTTTTCACCTAGGACTTGGGGATGCACAAAAGTAGTGAAACCATAGCAGATGAGGGAGCAGGATGTTTGAAGCCCAGAGGTTGGAAGAACCCGGGTATATGGAGTAGTGAAAGCCCAGCCTGGTGAGACCAGGGCCCAGGAAGGTACAGAGAGGAACTAAACAAGAGGTTCTGCTCAGGCCATGCAGAGCCTTTTGGGCTAGTAAGGATTCAGGTTTTATTCTAATTGTGGTGAGAAACTATTGAAGAATTTTGCCTGTCTTTTCTCTATCATTAGTTTATAAGAAAAAGATAGTTAATGAACCTATTTTAATGTATCCCTTGCTGTAGCTGAATATCTGAGACTGCATAATTTATAAAGAAATTTGTTTCTTATAGTTCTGGTGGTTGAGAAGTCCAACATCAAGGAGCTATATCTGGAGTTGATGAGAGATAACCAAACTGGATTCTATAACAGACCTGTTCCTGATAACTAACCCATACCCTTGATAACTTATTATGTTAGTCAGCTTTCCATCACTGTGACAAAATACATGAGAGAATCATCTCAAACAAAGGAAAAGTTTATTTCGGCTCTCAGTTTTGGAAGTATCAGTGCACGGTCAGTTGGCCTTGTTGCCTTTGGGCCTCTGAGGAGGTAGAGGAGATAGAGAAATGTATTGCCTCAGGGTATCTAGGAAGCAGAGATAGAGAGAGAGAGAGGAGAGAGAGAGAGAGAGAGAGAGAGAGAGAGAGAGAGAGAGAGAGAGCTGGGGTCTCAATATCCCTTTAAAGCCACGCCCCACAATAACCTAACTTCCTTCCATTGGGTCCATCTCATAAAAGTTCCACCAACTCCCAAAGGCACCGCAGGCTGGGACTAAGGGCTTAGCATCTGTGTCTCTGAAGCACATTTAAAGCCCAAACCACAGTGTCTGAAAACCTGCAAATTCATTAATTCTTTGAGTGTCATACTGCATCAAGAATACAGAGGCCCCATGACTCAGTCACCTCCCAATTCCAAATTCTATGATCATGCAACTTTGAAGTTTAAGTTTCCAACACATACATTCTGAATGACAAATATTCAAATCTTACCAACTGGCTTGACAAACATTGTGTTAAAGTATGAAACAATCCTGGAGATAGACATAATGATTTTCAATTTCCAGACAAAAGGCTCAGAACAGAGGGAATGAATGCAGGACCAGGATTTGGAGTCAGGTGTTCCCAGCCTACAGCACCTGGTCTGGAGTCTTCTAGAACAGATGGAGACCCTTCCTAGGCATCCATCATCCTTCAACAGTAACAGCAGTGGATGGTCTGGGGAGGGGGGGCGGCAGTTCTAGTCCCTCTTGGATCTTGGAAGCAGGAACAAAGATCCCAAAGAACAGAGGCAAGTTGAGAGTGTGCAGGTCAGGGGATCAGGGCCTGTAAGACCCCAATGACTAGGACATTAAAGGGCAGAGGAAGAGTCAGGCAACATTTCTGCATCTGTGCTGTGCCCTCTGGTTGTAGCTATATACTCCTAAGAAAGGAACCTCCCCCCACCTTGTTTACTTGGAGAGTGCAAATTGATCTGTTGAATTTGTTCTTCTGATAAATTTGCACATACTTGCAGGGTTTGGAAAGAAGAAATTCTTTATTTGGTGCTCTTCAGTCATGAGAAAAGCCTCTACTATTTGGGGCTAAGCACCTGCCACGGCCTGCTAGCTTGCTTTGGGGCATCTGCACCTACCGTCTCTCCTCCCAAGGCTGGTCAGGCAGGTCTTCATTTCCATAAGCTAGGACTTCACTAGAGGCACAGGCTGTCAGACTCTGAGGGTACAGTTCTGAGTTTGTGGTTGGGTCATCCACTCAGTGCTGACTGCTCCTCAGGGTCAATGCACACAGAGGCCCAGCCACTCTCTGGCTGAGCTGTGTGACAGATTTGTGCTGCGATGCTGGCTGGCTGTGCTTATGTGTTAAGTGGCACGACACAAGTCTTCAGTAAGTACTTTGGCCAGCAGTCAGCATAGTGTTTATTTGCCACTACCAAGTTTCAGCTCAAGCTTTTGTGGTGACTCATATGTTTTGTTCTTGTGAAATGCTTCTCATTTGAAAAGCCATAGACACTCTGTGTTACTCCTAAATGTGTCTTCTGATGCTCTGTGACTTCTAGATCTGCCCCTTGTGTAGCATTTCCTTAGGCCTCAGTACTTAATCCCTTTGCAGAGTTCCAGGACCTAGATTCTTTATTTAAGGCTATGTGATAGGCCATAGGCTCTTATAATTAAGGTGTTTTTGTTGGAGCTGGGAATATAGCTCAGTGATAGAGCACTTGCCTAACATGCATGAAAACCTGTGTTCCATCCTCAGTACTGCAAAAAAAGAGTTTTTATTCATGGAGATAAATGAACTCTAAGCACCATAGTTTTGGATATTCATTTTTCAAAGCCTGGGTCAAGCCCGGAAAATGTCAATCAGTAGTTGCAAATCAGTCCCATAATGCACCTTGAGAAGCCTGGTCACCAAGCAGCAAGTGATTAAGTAGCAAGCCATTGTCCAGATAGTGCTTTGGAAACTGAAAGCTGGACTCTGATTAATGTTTTTAAGGCAGCCACTCATATGAAAGACTTAGTGCAATAGGAAAGGCTGGTGATGTAAATCTGAATTTATTCACAACTCACCCTAGCAGGTGGCAGCCTTTTCAGTGAGCCTGTGAATTAGGGACATGCACAATGAAGACCCTGCTGTGACCAATGCCTGGGGCCAGAGCCATTCATTGGACAGAATTCTTTATGGAGCATCCTGTGTATGCTATAGATACAGTGGGTGACCAGATGGACATCATCTCCAGTAATCAAGTGCTGGGCCTCACAGATGACCCAAGATTACTGTCTTGTAGTACATGACTAGGGCTTGTGTGATGGATGCTGTTCTAAACACTGTGTGTATATGGATTCAGTGCATCCTGAAGGTGATCCTATAAGTTAGATTCTATTATTACCTGCGTTTCACAGATAAGGACATGGAAGCCTAGAAGGTAGAGTTATTAGCCAAATCACACGATGATCAGAACCAGGTAGCCAGACTACGGAGTCTTTGTCCTTCACTGCCCCTATCAATTGACATGAAAGACTGTCAGTTTAGAAAAGAAAGCCCCACATCCAGTGGGCAGGAATTCCCCTGCCCTTTCCCCATTCTGACAGTGTCAGTCCCGGCTGGGACATGGGAAGACTGCGGCTGAGGGGCCTACTTAGCCAGAAATAAGCACAGGAAGCAATGGCCTCAGGGCCAGGAGGGGCAGGTTCTAGTTTTGTGTGATCCAGACTACTCTCTTCCCTGCTGAGAGCCTCAGTTTCCTCATGTCCAAGATGGCTGTGTTGTATGATACTCCTCCACTCCCACCTAGAAGCTCAGGGTTCCTGCAGGGTAGACGGCTGCCCTCTAAGCACTCTGAACAGGGAGCGCAGGAAGGAGGCACTGACCCTGAGGAATGTGGGGTTGCTGCCTAGCAGTCCCACCCCTAATACTTGGTTGGCTATGTCTGCATTCCTTTCTCTGTGGGCAGGTGGCAGTGTCTGCGTGTCTGGGGTCCAAA